CACACTTGGCAAGGAACCTTTCTCGAGCGCGTACTGTAGATCAATTTCAGAAGATGCCAGTGAAACAAGGTCGTCTGCAAACAGCAACCTTCTCGTTTCCACATCTGCTACGCTGATGACTCATCGCCCTAACTGCGCCTGACTATTACCAGAACACGAACTCCGACCAGAGCTATGAGGTTCAGAGTTCTAGGGCCATGACACTTCGTTGAAGAGAGTGAAAATGTGCCCAGTCGCTAACTTGCTGCTCTTACCCTTTTGAATGATCAAGTGTTCATATTTCCAACTGTGACCTTCTACTGTCGGTACCACTCCCACGAGCTTCGTCTGACGTCCTACAATGGAACTGCGCAGTCCATCTCCTCTGTTCAGAAATGATAGCGGCTCTGTTGCTGATTGGTATCTTCGTCGTCGTTTTGTCGATCTTCGATGCCACCTGCCTTTTCGCACGTTCTGATCCCTGGCTTTTCGCAGTTTGCCTCAATTCCCCAATCGCCGGCGACTAGAAGATAATCCCGGCAACTAACTTGTCATTATGACGTTTGATAATAGTAGTGCCATGAGGGTAGTTGCTAAGTTTTACTAGATGGAGGTCGCCACAGTTCCCAAACCTCATTCTATCTCATTCTGACTAATGCGGGGTTTCACTCAGAATGTACAGACATAAATGTGTCCAATAAGTTTTTGAAAATTACTATTGCGAACGGTGAGTCCAATCTTTCTGTCTGAATCTTGAATAAAAACACACCTAATCCTTATTCATCTTTGCGCGACCATTATTCCAGTGATACAGCCAAGTTCTTTGTTAATTAATTAACCATTCAAAGGACCTAAATTTTAAGCTTTCAGCCCTCGAGAATCTTTGACACTTGGTTTGGTGATCCTTCGAAGTTACTGATGCTCGAGGCGGTTGTGAAGACTCTCAGCAAGGAGAATCTCATCGATAACGTACGCAAGACAGGAGAAGTGTTGCTGAAGGGGTTACAAGATCTTCAGGTAGGGTTCGTTTTCTGGCTTTTACTATATAGAGCATATAATATAATTCGTTTTACGTGTTACAGACAAAGTATCCAAAAATTCTCAGCTGCGCAAGAGGTAGAGGTACCTTCTGCGCCGTCACGATCGCGTCTCCTGCTGAACGTGATAAAATTGTGAAGGAAATGTTGCAGAATGGTATGTTGCTCACGGGAGAGAGCTTTATCCGTAATTACAATATACTTTCTATTTTCTTCCATTTTTTAGGAATAAATCTTGGCGGCTGTGGAACGCACAGCATTCGATTTCGTCCAACACTCATTTGTCAGCCAAAACACGTCGAGATTATGCTTGATCGCTTAAAAGACGTTCTTGCAAATAATTAACATTTTTATCTTAGCCTAATCCCTAAGAAAATCTTTAGATATTAGCAGCAGCGTGATAGACACTTTAGTAAACAATTATGTTAAAACATGTGCTTTAATAAATAATTTTATTGAACATATGCTGTGTCAGAATTCATTACTTGTTGCACTGTGGCTTTATGTACATTTATTAAATGAAATTCTATGTAACTTAACTTATAGAACTCGCAACGGCACCATTCTCTTGATGAATAGGGGCGATTGTATCGTGTAATTCCATGGAGAACTTAGAAGACAGTATGACAGGTGTCTTTATTCAAGATTTGATCTAATGGATAGTGGTCATCACAGGGTATGACTCTATATGGGTGAAAGTTCATTCCAGCAACAATCAAAGCAATGACATCTTCTGTTTGGAAAAGACGATACGGGGGAAAAATCCTGTGTCTTTTATTACCTGCGAAATAAGCAGGGAATCGAACTCAAATGCAGTGCTCAAGGTCTAGAAATTTAACTGAGAGCACGGAAAATAGTCAAGTTACGGAAAAACGATCGGTCAATCCCTTGGTCAAGGGGAACTAACGTTTGAGACAAAATTTGTTTTTTCTCGGAATTTGGACTAGACCTTCTTACCACTAGATCAGCCCCCATTTGAATATTCAAGATCTGGCAAATTCAAGCTAAAAGCCTAGCTCAAATCAGTATTGTCATAAAAACTGCTACTTTTTGATCGACGTTGAGTTGTTTTT